AGAGAGAGAGAGAGAGAGAGAGAGAGAGAGAGAGAGAGAGAGAGAGAATATGATCAGGAAGAAAGCTAAGCAAAGTAAATTAGATTCAGAGTTCTTGTTTTGGAAAAAAAGGGGGGGGGTGCTGTGGAATAATGGTCTTTTACCCTGTAAAGATCTCTCACATATATTGGTTTAATAAAATGCTGAGTGGCCAATAGCCAGGCAGGAAGTATGGGGGGGACAACCAGGACAGGAGAATTCTGGGAAGAGGAAAGGCTCAGTCTGCAATAGTCACACAGACACAGAGGAAGCAAGAGGAGAATGCCTTACTGATAAAAGGTACCAAGCTAACACGTGGCTAACACAGACAAGAATTATGAGTTACTTTAAGATGTAAGAGTTAATAAGAAGCCCGAGCTAATAGGCCAACCTGTTTGTAATTAATGTAGACCTCTGTGTATTTCTTTAGTACTGAATGGCTGCAGGATCAGGCGGGATAGAAACCTCTGTCAACAGGGTCTGGGTTGCATAGTGTGAGCTAGTCTTAACCTCAGCATATAGCCCAACATTGCTTGGACCTCACAGCAATCCTCCTCTTTCAGCCTTTCAAATACTGAGATTACAAAGCTAGAAGGGCACACCAAAATGCTTGGTCTATCAAAACTGTTTGTAAAAGATATTTTTTAAAATAAAACCAACTGTTTCCAATAATAAAGGTCAAATCTGGACATAAAATCTCAGTGTCTGAAATCTCCTGTCAGTGCCATTAATGGAAAAACACATCTATGAAATAATACGCTGGTATGGGGTTGTGGCAAGAGAGATGGTGATGGGCGCCACAGCAAACAGGCAGGCATTTGGGAAGTCCGGTACTAAATTTGTATCCCTGGTGCCATGTTAAAGGCTTGGTCTGTGTTGTCATTGGCAGGTGGCAGAACTTTTAAAAGGCAGGCCCTAACAGAAAGAACTTAGACCACTGAGGTGTGCCCTTGAAGGGTGGAGAGGATGTTGAGGACCATCTCCTCCATTCCCAGCCATTAAGAGATGAGCAACTTTGCTTTTTTGCCTTGTTGTACACCCCAAAGCAATAGTCATTTTTGAGCATGTGCACAAGGAGAACACAGTGTAAAACTGCCCTGGCAGCAACAAACAAACACGAAAATGTGGAAGCATCTTAAATAGTCATCTATTACGAACAGATAAGTAAAAGTGGCTTGTGCATACAATTACGTATTATATGACAATAACAATACATTCGAGTGAGGGTGGGTATAATGATGCATGCCTAGCATTATATCTAGTTAGGAGGCAGAGATTGGAGAATCATTTGAGCCTTGGGATTTGAGCCTATCCTGGACAGCATAGCCAAAGAAAGAGCCGTCTCAAAAAAAAGAAGGTAACTCATGAGCTATTTTATCCAGCAGCACAGATGAATTTTAAAAATAATATAGCACGAAGAAATATAGTTGCGTAACACTGCATAAAAATGTTACACTATCATATCAATCTAGTAAACTATAAAGTTTATTGGTTCCTGCCTAGAAGAAGTAGGGCAGGAATGGGGAGTGACTGCTAACAGTGGAACGGAGACATCAGTGTTGGGAACATTCCAAAACTCATTGTGGGTATAGTTGCACAACTCTGTATGAAAACTCAGGAAACGTGTGTCTTAAACACTGCAGCTGCACACTGTGTGAATCGTCTCATGAAGGCAGGCTAAGAAAACAAGAACCATTGCAAAGTTCTAAAAGATACAGAACTTTAAATTATAAGTATATAAAAATATACCTACATACATATGTGCACTGTTTAGGGGTTGAGGTGGCTGGTTGTCAAAATGCTAGTTATGCAAGAGTAAGGCCTTGAGTCCTGGATCCTCAGCCCCCATGGAGTCTCAGTGCTGGGGATGTAAAGACAACCAAGCAGGGGCTTGCTGGCCAGGCAGTCTAGTGATTTCATGTGCTCCAGACTTACCGAAAGACCCTTAAACACTATTTGGGGACACACACACTACCATAGATGACAAAATTTTAAAGAAAAGCAAAGAGTGAACAACATCAAAGCCGAGTTTCAAGTGGTCTCTAAGAGGAAGAGGCTGGCTGGAATTGGGCACAAGGCTGGGGAGAAGGGGTCAGAAACTCCATTCTATCCCACTTCTTTAAACTAGATGATGGCTGTGCAGTAGTTACCCTGTCACTGAGCTACACATTAAGATATACATTGCAGTGCACATCATTTTGGTACCCCAAATTGCACAACTAATTTTTTCATATGTCCTTTCCACCTAAGTAGTTGTTCAAGTTTTTTAATCATTTGGTTTCTATACTAACCCAAATCCTAGTCATTGTAAATAATTTTACTTCTTTAAAAGGCAGCCTAAAATGTATTTTAATTGGGAAAGTCAAAAAAGCCTTCAGTGATCTACTTGTAAAAGAAGCACCCTTTCTCCCCTTTAGACAACTATCAATCAGGATAGAAAATGAATCCTAAGGTTCCACCTTACCTGTTTATCATTAATAGAGTGCTTTTCAATTTCTTTCTTCGCCTGCAGCAGCTTGTCCTAAAAGCAATACAGAAAAAATTATGCTGTCCGCATTTGCTAAAAAGGAAAGAAAAGGTAACTGTTGGAACAGATACTATAACCCAGAGTAGCTAATGATGGGCTTGAGAAAGAAAGGAAAAATGTGACACTATGGGTAAGTCACAGCAAGTTTTTAAATTCATCGCAGAGATGAGAGAAAAGTAAATGAACTCATTAATTCATTAATGAGTTAATCCGGATTAACAGCACCATGTCGATGGTCGGTCCAGGGCTGCTAACAGCAGTTGGCAGGGACACAGGGACACAGAGAGCAGAGACACGGCAACACAATGTTCCGGAAGTTAAGGGTGTGTGACGGCTTATGTACAGTATTTTCCTCCTCACCTTAAGAACAGAGTAAGAAGCAATTACTTTTTTAAAGGACTGGATAATGCACGTCTGGGTACTTTCAAAAATACGCCTTAAACTTACAGAGTTACTCAGAACATTGTGAAGTTTTTCTAAGTCCTCTATTTTGTTTTGTTATTTTCAAAAAAAAAAAAAAACAGACCTGAGATTACAGAACCTTTATTTTTCACAGATTTAAAAATAATTTGAGAGCTGGAACAGAACAAAGGGGGAAGGTCCCAGCACACAGGAAGCCCTGGGTTTAATCCCCAGCAAGGCTACCAAACCTGGAGTAACACAGGAGCAGAGGATGTAGAGGTCGGCCAATCAGAAGTCGGATGCGCCCACACCTGCTAGTGTGCACAAGAGACTGTCTCATGAAGGGGTGGGGGAGGCATCTTCAAGGGACAAGAAAAGTTTACAAACACGAATGTCACGACAAAATCATACATTCCTATTGAATGCTGGGGACTGATTACAGACAGTACATACTACCTGGAAAGATTATATACAAAACTAAACAACATCTTCATGTCAGAAAGTTCTCCATATATTCAGTCAAACATGGCCCTTGTGAGCTACCACTACCTGAGGTACTGGCCTTCCACCCGCTAGCTGGGGTACTGGTCTCCCATCCGCTACTTTGCTGCTCTCATGCTAAATCATAGCCTTGCTAAAACTCATCAAGTGGCATTTCACTACACCCATGTTTCCATTCATGTTAGGGGACTTTAAAGTGTGTATAACCAAGCCGAGCCACTTTTTTGTTTTTAAAAAGAAACTTGTTATTTTAGCCTAATTCTGGGTCATTAGTTTCATGTATTTTCTCCAGAGATCCGGCCTGGCTAGGCTTCCCCACTAGGCCTTCTCAACTAAGCACCCTACCTAGGCAGCTAACCGCCCAGGCAGAGGCACACAGCTCATTTTCTTTCTCTTCTCTCTCCCTGAAGGGTCTCCTGTAGGCCAGGTTAGCCTCTAATTAGCTGTCTAGATGAAGGTGACCTTGAACTTCTGATCCTTCTGCCTAGTGCTAGGGTCATAGGCAAGCACTTCATGCTGAGTTCTACCTGGAGTTGACTCACACACCCCAGGGAAGCATTCAGCCAACCAGGCATGCAAGTGCCAAGCCCCTCCTTTCATTTCCATGTTCAACAGAATTGTCTAGGTCTTCTATAAGCCACGCAGAGCAGCGACCTTAGAGCCATGTCACTGCCCCATCCCCAGACCCCGAAGAGGAACAGAAGGGTTTCAGTCACTGCTTTGGCAAGATTACTGACCTCCAATATAAAGAAAAACAGCCCCCTGAATTGGTTAGACACAGGAAAAACTACATTGTATACATATTGGGAGGGATGAAACTCCCCTGCAGCATGCCTATCATGTCATAGGCAAATTACAGAGAGAAATGATAGGTAAGCACCCATATACCACCTTCTAAGCTGCCACCGCCAGCACATCTGTTTGCCTTCTGCCAGATGTGCTCTCTTACAATGCCTTCATTCTCCCCTCAAGTTCAGGACTACCTAGAATGATAGTGCCTGGGATGTCAACGGCAGTAATAAGTGCCTGCTGAGCTGACCCAACTTCAGCAGAGAAGTCCTTGGCCTCAAAACAAGAAAGAACCAATAGTGCCGAAGTCACACCTTAGATCAGGGAGGAAGGCATCCCAGCACAGGTGCGAGCACCAAGACAGTCTCTTGAACTTACTGCATTAGTAAGTTAGTCATTAGGACCCCATGCCACTTACCTCATTTCGTGCAACCAGAGTTATAAATGCTCCTTGTTTGAAGCACTCGATAGCAATGCACTTTCCGATGCCACTGGAACCTCCTGTGACCTACAAAGAACACCGTGAGACCATCTTAGCACCTGCGCAAAGTCTACTTAAAACATCTGCGATGGGTGTAGTTCAGCTGCAGGTCTCGTGTTCATGAGGCCCTGGGTTTGAGCTCCAGGTAACATATAACACGTAACCTAATTAGGGGTTTTAAAAACTCATGTACAAGCTGGACGTGGTGGCACTCACCCACAAGCCTAGTACTCAGTATTCACAGGTGATCATGAGTTAAGGTTGACACCGCTCACATGGGCATTTTTAAGATACTAGGACTATGTGAGGTCCTGTCTTAGAAACAAAACAAACCACAAGATCTGTAAGAACTACAACCTGTTCATACCAGATTTATCATTTGGAATAGTGCAAGAAGGAAGGATTATACTTCAGCAAAGCCTCCTGCTTTGACTGTTTCCAGTGCTGAGCTACAAACCGCCCATCTAGAATTATTTGAGGTCACCAAGAGAAACGTGCCCTACAATTATAGCTAAGAAAGAATGCGTTAGTGCTGCTGATTATAAATGCAAACGAATCTCATTTCCTCACTGTGCATCAACACAAGACTAGGTCTATGAAAACATGTTACAGGGCAAAGGCCAGTTGTAGAGCTCGCTTGCCTAACACGGAAAGGCCCTGGGCTCGATCCTAGCAAAGATGCACACACTCATATTGCATTGTCAATGTTGAAAAACTAAAAGGCTTCACAATACTTCATTTAAAACACTCCATCAAGGCCAGGCAGAGCGTTGGTGGCGCACGCCTTTAATCCTAGTACTATGGAGGCAGGGGCAGGCAGATCTCTCTGAATTCAAGCCATTCTGGTCTATATACTGTCCAGAACAGCAGGGATATATAGTGAGAGCATGTCTCAAAAACAAAACAAAGCTCCCTCTGGCAAAACGTAGTCATCCGTTTGGATTACTGTGAATATTTTACTATTCTGAAGCTATGCGGAAGAGTATTTCCCACACTATAATGTTCATACTGTCATGAAACCCTCCGAGCATAGATACGGATCTCGGTGTACTTGAGAATACCTCATGTCTCTTTAGCCTCACCTTGATTCTAATGGACAGATTTACTTGGTAGATAATTAACCAAATGTCTATTGAGGATTACTATAAAAACATACCTGTTGCCTTGGCTAAACGTTGTCTTTGAGGCGGCTTTTGATATCAGGATATTTTATGAGCTGTTTTGGTTTATTAAATTTCAGTCTTCGTGGCACTTGGCAGGGCCTCTAAAATGTCCTCACATGCGTTACAATGCTTTAGCTGCTCAGCATCCCTCTGTCACACATCACCCCTCCTGTCCCCGCAGAACTCAGTTTGCACGTCCCTACGTTTGGGAAGATTTTCCTGAACACACCATTCAGCTCTCCTGGTTTGTCACCACGTACCTTTCATAGCTATCTGGATACGTCTTGGCTTCCTGGCTGGGCTATCAGATCCTTGTGGATGAATCCCAAACCAGTTCATCTCATTCAGCACTGGCAATGCCAGTCCCTCACACAAGCAGGTAATAAAGAAATACTTTCCTTAATTTGCAGAATGTTCTCTAATGCCATTCCCATGAAAAAAAAAATACCTATTTATTGTTCAGTAAATTGATGGAAGTGGAAATGAAGTTACCAGGAAAACCTTTATGCTCCAAAGTATTGTGTAAATATCAGCCAGGAGATTCAGCAAACAGATGGTGTCGATTCGCTTTAAAGAAAACGAGAAGATCCATATCCATATCTTACAAAGCTATCCATAACAGGAGTAAGAACTAGGTTTTAGACCAGCGTGCATAAAAAAGGATGTTCTAGCCAAGCCAGTTACTTCTTGACTGACCCGTGAGAATGCAGTTAGGCTAATTCTAGACTGTGATGTTCTGGATGCTATGAGACCTATCGGAGCTTTCACAATGGCTGAGAAAATGTTAAATGTCGTTGTCTGACAATTGCTAAATAGAAGCGGGCGGAGGGCACTAAGGGTGACAGTTGAATTTTCCTTCCTTACATTTCCTCTTACCGATCACTGCGACTCCCATTCAAAAGATCCCTTCTCTCTAACCGCACACACAGCTCTCATTACGGGCATTATGAGCTCACCGGCTGCTGGGAGCACTACTCTCAGTCATCCAAAAATGACTGAATGAATGAACTCTGAAACAAGCACCAAAGGGCGAGAAGGCTGGCACAGCCTCACTGCAGTGACCAGAGCAGCAGCCTATGAGAACTGTCCTACAAATTAAGTACAAGTTGTTCACACTGACACACAGGGGGACAGTGCAGGGTACAGCTGTTCACGCTGACACACAGGTGGACAATACAAGGTACAGCTGTTCACACTGACACACAGGTGGACAATACAGGGTACGGCTGTTC